ATGGATTGGAGCACCGGGGATGGATCGGAGCACCAGGGACGGCCGCCGCTCAGCAGCCATCCAAGACGCAATCGCTCCCGAAACACTCAGAGGTTTCCAGCTCGACGCTGGAGAGGAAACGCCGCAGGGATTTGCGGCAGTTGTAATCCAGGGTGGTGGTGTACACAGTCTTGGCGTGCTTCGGGTAGACGATGGTGGTGCTGGTGAAGCGCTGGGCTTTGTTGCGGGGCTGGAAACGCAGCTCGGCTTTGTAGCTGCGCCACGTGCAGTCGGGGACGCAGACGATGGTTTGGCTGCAGGAGGAAACGCTGAAGCCCACGGGCATGTAGACGTCGTCGATGAAGTGCTTCTCTGAGTCGTATTTCACTGAGGAGGTGTACCTGGAATGGAGAGAGGAGGGGAGAGACGTGGGAGAGCTCTGCTCGTGCAGCTTGTGGGAAATGGAGTATCAGCGCTGCTCCTCAGCTCTACTGCCAGCACTGGGAATCACCTCCCCACCACTGCTGTCATGTCAGAGTGTGGGAAGCCTACAGCCATCCAGTGCCTGAATCTAGAGGGCTGCGTTCACCCTTAGGCTTTGCACAGAAGCATCCCTACTCCGTGCTGTGCTAAGTCCCTACTGTACTCTCTGTTTTCCACTGTCAAGAGTGATCTTTCACCCCCTTTACGCTGTAGCAGCTCTAGGTTGGCCTTCACTCAGTGCAAACAGCCCCACTGGCTCCTTCCCACCTCCAGGCCTGCAGATTTCAGCCCCTCCTGCACCAGGCAGAGGACAATTCCTTCCCCCTAACAAAGAGGTGGCTTCTGTGAAGGTCCTCTCCTGGTTAATGAGTTGAGAGGCAGCATTTAGGAGTAAAAGCAGGGCTGTAAAACACAGGAAGTCTTCCTGGAAAAAAACCATATGGGATTAAAGAGAGGCAGAACACTCCTTCAGTCTGTGCAAATGTCCAGGTCCAGGAATGTACAGCTGCGTGAGCAACAGCTCTGCAAATAAATTAACTTGACTCACACACTGATAAGGCCCAGTTACTCCTTTATGCGCTAGCTCCTTCCAACCAGTGATGGTGTAACACAGTATTTACCTTATTTCCTTTGGTGGTAAAGGGTCAAACTCAACGCCTTCACCAAAGGATAAAGGACACAGTCTTGGAGGGCAGCTGGAGAGAGCAGGGCTGGGAGAGAACGTGGAATTCTGCGAGAAAAGTAAAAGTAACGCCTGTTAAGTCACAGCATCGGCATATTCTGTAGTGCTTCCTGTTATGTGCAGGAGAATCTGCTGGGCAGGATGCTGGGGGTGCAACCCAAGGGCACAGCACCACCCCAAGGAGGTGGGCACGGGACAGCTCTGGAGAGCACAGCGCTCCCTTCGGGAACAGCGCAGGGCACAGGGAAGGCACAGCCCACAGGCTGGCAAGGAATAAACTTCACGTGGCTGCTGTACCACAGCGCCGTCCCAAAAGCATTCAACCAAAGCAGCGACGGTCCTGTGAGGTCCCACACCGGGAAGGACCGACTGCTGCAGCACAGCAGCCCCGTGCCCTCTGCTGGAAGAGCAGTGCCGGGCTCCCCGCCGTCCTCAGGGTCTCCGATCCCCCTCCGGCGCTCAGTCCGTCCCAATTCCACCTCTGCCGTACGAACGCTCGTACCGTAACTTCGCAGTAACGCTCAGGACCGCTTCCCGCAGCCTTGCGCGGACGCTGCCGGCTGGGAGCGCTTTGGCACACCGGCTCCAGTCCCGGCACGGACCCGGGACACCGCGAGCCGTTTTCCGCGGGGCTTTGCGGGGTCACACAACGATCCCAACTCCGACGGGAGACCGAGCTGCCCGGGGCTGGGAGCCGCCAATTCCCTCGGCGCCAGACCCCAGACTGCGGCCTCACCCGCCGTTCCCTCGAGCCGAACCTCCCTCCCTTTTCCCCCCAGACGGACCCGAACGCCCGGGACGTACCGCAGCCGCGGAGACGGACGCGTGGGTTTCGGGTTCCGGCAGTCCGTTGTGCGCGGTTCGCTCCGGACTCCCGGCGGAAAGCGGCCAGTGTGGATGGGCGGGTCCGGGGCTGGGGGGCAGCCCGGAGTCGGGGCTGTCGAGCCCCGCGTCGCCCCGCTTCCTGGCGTCGGGCAGCTCGGGAACTTCGCGCAGGCTGAGCCGCCCCACCATGGCGGCACCCCCAGCCCAGCCCCGCTCCGCGCCCTGCGCCCGGACAGCGGCGGCTAGAGGGGCGTGGCCTATGGGGGCGCGGTCACGAGAATGGGCGTGGTTACAGTCAAATGGGGCGTGGCTTAAGGGGGTGTGACTCACGAGAAGAGGCGTGGTTGGCGTAAAGGGGGGCGTGGCTAAAAATAAAAGGGGGCGGGGCCTACGCGGCGCTCGCAGCCCTCACCGAGCGGTGGGGAGAAGAGCCGTGGGGCGGCCCGATGAGAGTCCGCTGTGCTGAGCCGAGCTGAACGCCCCGCGTGCGCCCGGCTGCAAGGGTGGTGAGGCAGTGGGGAATTGTGAATCAGGTCGGAAAAGACCTCTCAGATCCCCAGGTTCAGCCCCACGGCATCCCACCGTGCCCACTGAGCACAGCCCTCAGTGCCACATCTCCGCTGCTCCTGAGCAGCTCCTGGGATCACAGAATGGCCAGGGTTGGAAGGGATCACAAGGATCATGAAGCTCCAACCCCCTGCCACATGCAGGACCAGCCTCCCTCTTTAATACTAGACCAGGCTGCTCAGGGCCCCATCCAATCTGGCCTTGAACACCTCCAGAGACAGGGCATCCACAGCCTCTCTGGGCAGCCTGTTCTAGTATACCTCACCACTCTCTCTGTAAATAATTTCCCCCTGACACCACACTTCCTTGTGTGCCACTGCAGCACCACTCCTAAGAGCAAATGTTTCCGAATAAACCTGACCCTCCCCTGCGTGACATGAAGCCATCACCTCTCTATCACTGGGAGAATAAATCAACCTCACCTGGCCACAACGAGCAATAAGGTCCCAGAATCAAAGACAGGCTTCAAACAAAGACCCTTCAAACATCACAGAGCTGCCCCCAGCTCCTGCTGCAGAGCTGAAGCCACGCGGCTGCGCTGCCGCCCTCAGCCACATCATTCAGGCAAAGCTGCAGAAGGTGAAAGAGGAAAGCAGGAGAGGCCTTTCCAGCACTCAAAGAGACTAAAGGAAGGGTTTCTGGAAAATCCTAATGAAGTAATTGCGCCGTGTCATCAGATTTGGTGGGGGAATACTCGTGTGGATGGAAAGCAATGCCTGCAGGCAGCCAAAGCAAACAGCCCCGTGCAGGAACACGCTGTCTGGCCTGATGGGCCCAGCACCAGAGAACCCAAAGCCTTAAAAAGAATTCCTTCGCTGCCCCCAAATTGAAAGCAGAGCGGAGCTTTCAGCCGTAGGCGTCTGTGGTTTGCAGTTATGCTGTGCTGGGAACTCCGGATACTTCCTCAAGGAATTTACATTCCTTTGAAGAAATACTATGAGGCTGTTTGTCTTTGCTGGAAAAAAAAAAAGAAAAAAAAAAAAAAAAAAAAAAAAAAAGCAGATGGAAAGAAAAAGGACGTTGAAAAAAATAATTGATTGAAATCTTTGGGGTCTGAGCAAATGTGCTGGACAGGTGTTCGGTTCCTTTTGATTTAAACACATTCCCCAAGAAGAGCAGCAGGAAAGCTGATCGCCTCTTGCTCCAAAACCTCCCATAAAAGCCCTTTATGAAATGAACTGCTGGAGCAGTTTCCGGATGAACGCAATTGTTGTTTCAGAGCTGCTGTGGAGCTCCTGAGCTACGACTGCTCTGCCACTAACCAAGTCAGCATTGTTTACAGCAGGGATGACCTGTGGCATTCCCCCAGCAGCTGCCAGAGGTGTCCCCAGTGCAGCTCCTGCAGTGCTGGGCCCCTCCTGGCTCTTGTTTCTGGGTTTAGCAGCTGAAGCAGAGGGGTCTGAGCAGCTTGAAGTCACCCTGCAGCCCGTGTGCAGGGCTGATAACTTCTTTGCTAGGGTGAAAGTGAAAGGGTTAAGCAGAATTGTAGCTGCTCAATTAAAAGGACACTTGCTGATAGCCTCTCTCTTTAAGCCTCTCATACTGTGTGGATCTATACATCATCACCAATGGCACTGCAAATCTTTTCCCTGTTTGTCCACATTATTTACTTTTTAACTGCCTGCCCCCTGGCTGGGACAAAGCAGATCTGAGACTCTTATCAAGGTCCTCTTTCTATAAAAGACTTTCCACCAGGGCTGGGCTCGCTCAGCATAATCAGTAATCAAACAATAACTGCATTGACAGCGAGCCGGGGGGCCATCCCTGAGGGCTGGTGAAACAAATCAGAAGGATGCTGTGTTATTTGATAACGATGGAAAATTATTTCCAAATGATGGGAAATACCAGGCTGCTCCCGTGGGTGCAGACCACAAATGAGCTGGACACCGAGCTCTGCTCGCAGCCACGCTTGGAAGCAGCAGGAATTGCAGGGATTTGGGAATTGCACAGCCCTGGGAATCAGGTTCTTCTCTGATGGATGATGGTGATGGCACCGAGTCATGCTGGCACCTGGTCGCCACCACCCCAGAACTGATGGCACCAGCTCTCTGCAAAGCAAAAGCTGGCAAAGCCCCAAATCCAACCCCATGTGCTCACACCTGGGAGCTCAGGGCCAGCAGAGCTTCTTTGGCTGAGATCCACGAATGAGCACAGGCAGTAAACCCAGCAGTTCCAGAGAAAAGCAAATGAGGCTCTAATTCTCCAGGCTAATTCTATACCAAGCTCCTAAGCGGGGCTACAGAGGCCAACGAGGTGGGAAAGCCAGGAGGGAGCAGAGCTGCCAGGGAGTCACAGCGATCAGGAGCATGAGCCCCAGCACACAGCACAGTTTTGGGTGAGGAACTGCTGCACTTTGCTGTGTGCAGCTGTACAGAAAGCATCCAGAAGCATCCAGGAACCATTTAATTCAGTGTCACAGTCCAACACACAGCCAGAATTACACCTCGGCCAAAGCACGTTAAAAGTGACACTGTACACAGGAAAAAACCTTCCTTTATTCCCCAGAGAAGTAAATGCCAAAAGCTGACACATATGCATACAGACGTGCCAAACCCCAGAAGTACCCAAAAGTCAGGGGGACAAAATCCTCAAAACTGGAGATAGAAAAATGCAGAGTGGAACTCAAAATATCCAGACCTGTAGCACTCCTCAAGGGCTGAAACTAAAAATCCATTTCTCCTTTTATTTCCTCTTATTTCCAGAATGAAACACAGAGAATGAAACAGGAGAAGCCTTCAGGGAAAGACACATGATGATAACTTGAACATCATCTTTAGCTATTCATAATTCAGTGAGAGAGTCATCCACAGACATAGCGAAAATTTATCTCAAATAAATTATTTCCCCCCTCTGGGAATAATGAATCTCTGCAGCACCACGTTCCCCCCACCCCAACCACTGCATCCAACAACAATAATTCACGTTGTGACTTGAGATAATGTGTCCTTTAAGAAGGGCTGCTCACAATCCCAATGAGCTTTCCAATACCCTTCTTTTGTCACCCGATGTGAAATTAGGAGAAGAAATAAGTGAATAAATGGGTTTGGGGAGATCTGTAATGCTGTCTCTCCTTGTTGCTACCTCCCACTGCAGGATCCTGGCCCGGTGACCCCAAAAACACAGCCAAAAGAGACAGTGTTACCTCACCTGTTGACATGCACCTCACTGCAGGGCTAGGGCGTATGGAGCTGTTAGGAGACACCTGCCTAGTAAGGATCTCCTCTCTGTGGGTTTGTTCTGCTCGAATCCTGTGACCATCTCCTGACTGCTTGGAGCAGGCTGATTTGCTGGCTGTGCAGAAGGAGTACAGGGTTTTACTACGCTGGGCACACATCCTGCCTTCCCACTGTCATCAAATGGGCAGAAGGAAAGGGTGCAGCCCATGCCCCAAAAATACAGCCCCTGCAGGGAATCGCAGCTATGCTGGGAGCTTCTCACTTTCCCCCTGCAGTGAATCTTAGGGGCTGGGTGGACAGAGCTCATATTCCTGCAGTCTGCCTGGCTCCTCCCTCCCAGCTGTGCAGCAATGAGTGCTGATGTCCACAGTGACACATCCATAGGGACCAGTCCCCTACAAATTAAAGTCACAAGACCCAAATTCAATGAAGTTGGGACCCCACCTGGAAGGCATCTGACAGTGCATTCACTCCTCACCTGCAGGACTGTTACATGACATTTTTCCTGCAAATACCTGTGAAGCTTGAGTTAACATAAAGCAGGCACAGCTGGTCTATTGGCCCCAAAGTCCACGTGGGATTCAATTATTTACTGAGTGGGCACACAGTTTCAGAGTCCCAGGAGAAGGGCACAGAGGAGTTCAGGAAGAAATCCAGCATTGGTAGAGAGGAGGTGATGAGTGCCTGCACTGAGCCTCCTCTGGGACACAGCACAGGCAGGGCAGGGATGCTGACACCCCAACAGATCCTACTTGGTGCTGGCATCATGGCTCTGTCCTGGGCCTTTCCAACAATTGCAGTCGAGCTTTCAGATGCCTGAAAGTTGTTAAAGATTATTATTATCATCATCATTGTTTTGTTTCTTTCTGTCCCTCCCAATCCCCAAATAAATAACGAAACAGAGGAGCAGCTCTGCAGCAGGGAGCAAGCAGTAACACCAAGTTCTCAGGCAAAATCCATAGTGATGCAGCAGGAGAGCCTCACTGGGCTGGTAGCTGGGACAAGCACATCATAGCCAGATGCTCTGTGCACCTAAACCCCTTTTGTAGCTGCTGACTTCAAGGTGCCTCTGTTTTCTCCACCACGGTGTCCTGGGTTTCAACCATGCTAAGCTATCTAAGGGCAAACACCGTGGTCAGATTCTCCCTTGGTCTGAATGGAGCAGCAGTGCCACAGCACATGATGGGCAACAGATCACAGGGCATGAGAGCGATGGGACACGGATCTTCCAGCAGCATTCTGTAAATATTAACTCCCAAGAGCTGTGCTCTCCCAGTGCCTGCAGCTAGTCCTGAGCAACAGGTTCCTTTTGCTCAGAGTCTTTTTTTGATGAGTTTCTCCAGTTTCCGTATCCGGGAGGATTCCTGCTCAGGGGTTGGGGTGCTCAGTGAGAGTGAGCTGCTGTTCTCCACCCCAGAAGGAGGTGCTGGGAGGCGCTGGCGGAAAAGCTCCAGCATGCTGCTCTGCTCACTCCTCTTCAGGCCCTGCCACAGCAAAGGGAAGCAATGAGGTTAGATCGAGGAGCAGGCACGTGGGCTGATGACTGCAGGAAAACTCATTTCAAATCTCCTTTGTTCACCCCCCAAACAGCACATCTCTCAGTGACACAGAGACAGCTGAGCTCTGCCCCTTGTATATAGCTTATATAGCTATAAGCACGCTAACCAAACTGAGGAGGTGTTCTTCAGGAGCAACTCTACATGCTTTCATGGTAGAGAGGACACGTTTGCCTTCAAAAATGTCTTTCCCGCTCCCAAATCCCTTTTATTTCTACTGAGAGAGTCACCAATAATCTCAGAGCAGCTCTAGAAACGAGTAGAATTTCTGCAGGACTGTTTCTAACCTTCATGTCCAGTATCTTCTGGAAAGTGTCCGTGCTGCAGTCAGCAAGAAGCTTGATGTAGTTGTCAACAAACACAACTGGGGGCTCATGCGGGGCCATAACCACCTGCCAAGGCAAGAACAGAGGAGCTCAGACAAATTCTAGGAACTAAAGGCAGTGCTGAGTTCAGGCATGAGAGTGACAGCAGGTCTGGTTTCTCATAAAATACAATGTTTAAGGAACAAGTGAGATGTTGCATGTGCCAACAGGTAAATGTGAGCTGAAACGGGTAAATGGGACCAGGCAGCAAGAGTCATGCATGCATGTGCATGGCAACATGTAGGGCAGGAAGAGCACAGGACCAGAATCTTCTCCATCTCTGAAAATGTTTCCATATGTTTCCACTGACCCATCTCACCCCACACTGCATTCTGTCACTGAGACATTTCTTTCTTTTGCTGCACTTCAGACCAATGAAACATCATAGCCATGTACACGCTTATAAATCCTTAATTTACAGCCCTTGTAAAAATCCAGTGCTAAGATGAAAAGCTGGAACTTCAGACACTGCAGCCAGAGAAGAAAGGAAATGGCTCTGCAGGATGTGCACTCCTTGACTCCCTCCTCCGTGCTCACATCTGAGCTTTCTGCAGCTCAGCTGAATTAACATGTTTGTGCCACCCATGGGCTTAATGATCCTCCCACTGAATTAGCTGCACGGGTACAAGCCAGGACTCAGTGCTACACAGTGGCACTGTGTGCAACAGAGGCATCACTTCTAAACCATCTCAGTAATACGGAGGAGAGCCTGTGACCCCTGAGTGCATTACTCCATCCTTTTGACGGAGTGAATTTCTTAGGGAAAAGACTCCTCAATGTACAGTGTAAGCATCAGGGAAAGACTGGATTCTGTGCACAACTGGCAACAACGTTTCCTGCTCCTGTTGGCAATAAAAGGGTATTTTTCTTCAGGCTATTTCTACAAAAATTTAGACTTGCTTTAACGTATTTAATTACACCTCAGTCATTTCATCCCAAAAGCAGAGAATTTCAGAACTGATTTACGAATCCAGAACACAAACTCAGCCATGACATCACCCTGGGTGGGTGAGCAAAGCAACATGGAGAAGCGGCCGAGCACAAAGAGCCCAAATCACTGTCAGAAACATCCTCACAGTGTGGTCAGCGAGCAGGGGACAAACCCACTGCCCAGCACAACTGCAGAGCTCCCTTGGCTTCTCCTGGGCTCAGACCTACCTTCTTGCTGCATAAAGACAATGAGGGGGAAGGGGAAGCAGGGGAGATTGCTTTGCTCGTTACTTTTTATGAAGACAACACACAGCTTTTGGGTCATTTTCCAGGCACCAGGTCTGGAAAATGAAAAAGGGCTCTGGTGAATACAGTAACCCAGACATGTTTGCACTGGCTGTTGCACTAGACAGTAAACAGGTGACTCAAGCACAGCTTGGCTCCCCTGTGGGATGAAGTCTGCACAAAGGCCTGGAGTAACCTGAACTGGAGGGTCTGCCCTAAGACAGACACTCACGGATGTCAGCTCTGATTTTCACACCCTCCCAGGGGAACCCGCTTGCCTCAGCTCTCCCAGTAAGCAGAACCTGAGCACTCAGCTATCTTGAAAAATGAGGACAAAACCCCAAATGTGGTGATAAAAGAGAAGCAGCAGCAAAACCAAGGCCAACGAGCCAGGTTTCTGCAGCAGCTGGCAGCACACCCATACAAGCACGCATACATTCACGTGCAATCTGCAGTGCTGTGTTCAGAGCAAGGGCCCCCTGGAATTTGCTTGCTTGGATTCCCAGGCCAGCAGTCTGGCTGGCAGGTTATCAAAAGCCTTGAGTTACCTTCAGGATCATTTCAGCCCGCGTCATGCCTTTCACCACTATCCTCGTGTAGCTGGCAGGAGCCTTTCTCACCACTTGGGACCCGATGGAGGGCAGATCCAGGAGGACCATCTTCAGAGAGTGAGTGTCCAGCAGCAGCTGCAATAGTTAATCACACCCTGTTACGTGGGTCCCTTCCACACAGCTCCATTAGCTGCTATAATCCAACACGCCAAAAGTTTAATACTTCTCACGCTGAAAGCATCCTGGTAATGGGACTGCAGGGACAGGAGGGGCTGACCCATGTAATGGCACTTCAAGGAGACAAGATCACCCACAGCTATTTATCAGCACCAGCTGTTGGCTCTAACAGCACTGCTCTGTGGCCTTGGGGCAGCCCAGCACCTGGCACACACAGCCTGCATTCCTCCCTCCTCTTCCTTCTGACAGTATGAACTGAGAACTATAAACAGTACAAACAATCCTGATTACCTGTAGCTGGATCATTATTTAAATACCAAGGTCAAATGAATTACCAACATGCTTCCTCTTGCAGCTAACAAGCAATTACATCAAGTTTTCTGCATTTACTCAACCAATTGTTTTTCCACGTTAAAAAAGAATTACAACACAACATCTCTACCCTAAGAACTGCACAACATCCTGTGCTGACTGCAGCTCTCAGCCTGCTGCATGGTGGTTTTCAGCAGCCCAGAAGCAAGCAGCAGCCTCTGTGTTCAGCACTGACTGCTCAGCCCCTGCCTGACAATCCAGTCCTATGGGTTAGGATGTCACCAAGTGAAATTAACCCCAATACTGCACTCTTCCCATACGTCTAAAGAGGTGGAGGTCAGAAACTGCAGGAGATGAACTGATGTTATCAGTACGGTTCTGGGAAGCCAGGAAACCACAGCACAAAGGGGCACTTCTGTGCACAGCAGAGCTGCTGAGCCCGGTGCTGTGTCAGGCTGTCCCTCAGAGCAGGATTCCTGCAGATCCTAACAGACCCCATGAATTTTTTTCCTGGCTGAGGAATTCTCCTTTCCATGTAGACTTCTTCGTGCTCACTTACATGGAAAGGAAACCATTCTGCCTTAAGGCTCCCCAGCACCTGTTGCCTAGTAAGACTCCAAACTCCCACCAAGTTCAGGTTTGGCAATTTTGGGAACAAAATAGAAAAAACATCCCACTTTGTGACCATGACCCCAATCTCCTGGCACAGTTCTGAGGAAAGGAAGATGATGGCCATTCTTACATAGTAGGAAAATCATAGGAGGCAAAAATCTGTTTGTACTCCCTGTTGGCCAGGACACAAACTCTGTCACCAGCCCTTTGGCTCCTTCAGCTTCATTTCCTCCCAGCAGAAGGGGCCAGCACCTGGGGCCAGTGGGCAAAGCCCCTGCAGGACATGGCATCCTTCTGCTTGATGGCTGAGCAGGCACTGAGTGTACACGAATTCTGCCCCTTTTACCAACATCTGTATGGACTTCTTGAATACAGAAATGGTGAAATACTACTTAGAACACAACTACTACTACTTACCTGTTCTGCTCCCACCATGCTGATAGGCTTGCACTTAAAGAGGTGGTTGATGAACTTGGGAATGAAAGAGCTGCAAAGAAGAGACACAGAATGACAGTTAATGTCAGTATTTGGATCACGTGGGATGCTGGGCCAACAAAGCATGCAGGACCACAACAGCACCTGGCTTTCCACAAATGCACAGTAGGTGCATGGCTCTCTAGCTGACTCTAGGCACGTTAAGAATAATAAATAGAAATTAATTATTCTGCTTTACTCCACGATGATCTTTAAGTTAAGAATCTGCACATAAATGAACTGCTGTAAATTACATATGAAGTACTACAGCACAAGTTGAAGAACAAGAAAACCAACTATGGTACATTCTACACACCAGGATTAGTACAGCTATTCATGGACATGGAGTGGAAGCATCTAGATTGTATCCAGAACTGACATTTTATCGCACACAGTAATTCCACAACACATATATTACAAACTGAACTTGAGATCCAGCCATGGCTGGAGGTCTGCAGGGACACACGCAGGACAGCATCCCTCCAGAGAGCTTCCAGCCAACTGAGCCAGGACAACACATTCTCCTGTTTTGCTATTTTTCAGACTCAGGAAGATGCTCAAGGTACATACACTCAATAGCAGAGAATTTGGTAAAGCTGGAAGCCAAGCCCAATATCCACCACGTTGCACAAAGCATCCCAGAATTTTGGTTTTGGCTTTTTGCTTCTTTTTAGCAGGCTTTGTGGTAGCTTCGTGCTCCAGTGGCAAAACAGCAGAAGATAAGGGCCCTCATCAGCTGGATGCAGCTCACGTTATTTCCAGGGCCTTGTCCCAACATGAGGCAATTCTTCAGTTTCAGCATCTCTGTCCTTAGGTCTCACAGTTGGGTCTGTTTTCTGAATGAGGCGCTGCTTTTGGTGATGATGTGAATTCAGTGTGGTTTCCCCCTCCCATCTGTCAAGCTATTTTTTCCCTTCCAATGAACAAAAGAGCACCGTCAGCGTCTTGTTTGTCCTGACACCTGTTCTCCAAGCCAGGACTTTTATTTTTCACCCTTCCTCATGAACAAATGACAAAAGCATAACTCAGGCATAGAACATGCCAAGCTGCTGAGCACAGAGCACGAAATGGCTCAAGGAAGAGCCTTCCCAAGCAAAATCTCCTTCCCTTTCCCTTCACTCAGACACAGCTGTGACCTCTCACTGAATCATCCTTTCCTGGAGAGGCATCAAGTAGAACAAGTTCAAACCATTGCTGAGAACCAGCTACTGGGCTGCCCTAAACAACACTGAATTTGGCCACTGGAGAAACAGCCTTGGCAATAGAATGTAAATAAGGGGAGAAAAACAAGCCCTGCCTCCTCCTGTAATAAAGCACTTAGAGATAGCTCAGGAGGTAGGTTATACCTTAGAAGGCCATTTTTCAGGTGTGTGAATGATTCCCAGAAAGCAATTAGTGAGTGCTGAGCACAGCTGGAGCTCAGGCAATGCCACCAGCTCCGGGTGCAGCAGTGTGTCCAAGGGGAAGAGCACAGGAGGTCCCTGTACCTTTGATCTGCATGTGGGTCCAATGCTCTGGCTCTCTGTAAGGTCAGACATGGAGCTGATGCTCACATTGTGCATGAGAAACTTTTTAGCACCGTATAACCACGTGGTATCTCACAGCCAGCACTCTGCCTCACATAAAACCATTCCCAGGCCTTTTAGGATGGCCACCCACAATCAGTGCAGAAGGAGAAAGCGACCTTCCATCCCTGCATGCCTGTTATTTCATGCTGTCTTATTGGAAACAGCTTTTCAGCTCTAGCAGGACAGACGAGACAAACCATGAGATTCAAGGGCTGCTCTGTTTTTTTAGGGTTTTTTTTTTTTCCTTTTTCTTTTTAAGAGCAGTTGCCCTTAAGTGAAAAAAAAAAAAAGAAAAAATCACTCAACTTTCTTGTGTAGGACACAGAGTTTGGCTCTTGGAAGCAAACCCAATGTGAGCGATACGTGCACGTTCGGCAGTGAGTGCTCAGCACACAGTTTTGTGCTCTGAACGCCTTTAACTCCCTGCACATCCACAGAGCTCCACTGGATGCCAGAAATCATTTGCAGCTTCGGCTGTAAAACCAGCTCCATCGAAGCAGACAAGTCCCTCGTGGAACAATAAAGCAGACGAGGAACCTAAAGCACAGAAAGCACAGCATGCGAGAGGCTCCCATCCGATGGGAGAGGCTCAGCCTGTGTTTTCCCAATCCCCCACGCTGATGTGCTGAGCAGGGCAGGCAGGCAGATGAGCAATGATGGGATGTCATCCCAAGCATCCCGGTGTCACTGCGTCACCGCAGCGCTGCACTACGCCGTGCCCAGCCCTTGTGGACTCGCCCAGGCTGAGCTCAGCATTCTGCTTCCAAACCAACAGAGCTCCTCGCTGCAGCCCTCCTCCATGTAACCCCCAGGGCCCGCTGCTGCACGCCTCTCACTAATTCAGGGCAGTGAGGGTTGCACATGGGTCAAAACAAAGCGAAAATGACAGATGAGATTAGAGGATTGATGCAATTCCTGACGGTAATTCTTCTCCTTCCAGACTTGGCTCACATCTCTCTTTTAAATTTGGTGACTTTAGCTGCCTTCTCCCCCGTGGTCCTGTAACTCAACCCCAGCCCTTGATGCAATCCATTAGAGCAGAGAGTGGCTGGCAGGTCACAGAGATGCAGGCATTAACATATAGAAGGCAGCTTTCTGTGGTGTTCCATGGAATAAGCTCTGATGAAGGCACACACTTCAGATCTGGACTCCTCTCGTATGTGAGACTGAGGTATTTTATGCAGAGCTTACAGGGTATGTGCTTAGCAATAAAGTTAAAAGGGAGACAACTAAGCTGAGGTATTATGAGTGTGCTGTGAACAGCTGAGTAAATTTTTTTCCTATTATTATTTATCACTATGTGAGCAATATAAAATTCAAGCATAACCACATAAAAGGCTTAAGTGCAATACATTTTCACTGGGACAGCTTTTCAAACAGTGATTATGGCCAATGTCATAATATGATTTATCAGTAACTGCTCCTTAATGCAAACTAATGAGTACCCAGAGATAGAAAGGGGGAATGAAACGCTGAGGCCAGCCTCCCCGCTGCGAAAGTTAATGGTTCTCAGGAGAGCCTACTGCAGCTTTTCCTGCTGAAGCAGGAACTGGAGCACTGCTCTCAAATCCACACAGTAACTGCCAGGCCATACGGTTTATTTCAGGATGATTAGCTTATTATGGTTGAATGAAATGTGAAAGATTTTAAAGGGAGACACATGATATGTATGGTGCTGCTCCCAAGGCTCTACCAGGATAGCCACGTGCAGCTACAACTGACCATGTCCTCCTGTGCCTTTTCCCTGGGGCATTGGATGCAGAGCTCAAATGGCCTCAGGCAAGCAAGCAAGAGTTGAAAACATCTTCCCAGAGAACTGAATTTTGGTTTTGGACACATAGCTTCAAAGCTTGGATTTCCAGAAGTGCTGGAGAACGACACCCTCAGCCCTGAATACAAAGGCAAGAGGAAATTTCTGTCTCGTTTTCCAGTTACTTTCACAGTATCAAACAATTTGCCTGGAAAACACTCAGATATTTGCATTTAGGGCGTTATGATGTTTCCAGACCTTTCTTGAGATAAGAAATTGAACTATCTTTTAGTTTTGCCAGCAGCTGCAGGTGTTTGCTGCCCTACCCCATGTGCCTGGATGGGGTAGACCTGGATTGGTCTTCACCCAAGCACTGCCTGCACATTAGGAAGCAAACAATGGTCACGTACTGACAGACTGGTGAAAAGCAGAGGAATTCTGTGCCACGCTGGTAACTTACTTTGCAAACTTTATACAGAACTGAGTGAAATACTTTCTGGTGGATGCCAGGTTGTCACGGATGATGGGGACGTTCTGCTTGATGTGGAGAATCACTGAGGTGACATAAGGACTCTGGTCACCAACATGTTCCACGTTTTGCCACTGCATCTGCACAAAGAGGAGATAACAAACAAGCAGTTTAACTCACCAGGATTCAAGCAATACATAAGGAAAACTGTACAAGCTTCCTGCAGAAGGATCTCTGAGGAATTATCAAGAGACTGTCTCTGCAATTCACCACCACCGAGGTCATATCCCTTGTCAGTGGATTGACTGAGCAAAACCAGAACAAAATGCAAAGAAGGAAGACCCAGAACGGCCCTTTTTGCACCAGAACAGAAAGACTATGGCTGGTAATGGGAAACACCAGCATTAAAAGAGGTTTTTGGAGCACCCTAGGCTGCCTTAATATTTAACAGCTCCCAGTTTTTTGGGATGAAGTGCCCATATAAATCCTTATTACAAGCATTTGAGAAAATAACTGCAAGCTTGCAAAGTCCGGATTCCTGCACGGCAGCCAAGGCTTTAATATTGGAGAGACCGATGACAGATAGGTGGAGGAGGTAGAAATGAAGTCCAAAACACTCTAAAGCAATGCAGCTCACACTGAAATACTTTCAGTGTACCAGCTGGGATGCCAACTTCAGCTCAGCCCAAGCACACAAAGAAAAGAAAAAAAAAATTACTCAAGCTCTCATTTTGTTTTCATTTACTGTCAGCAGAAACACAACAGACCATCCCCTGTCAGCCAGATGTGTGACTCTGTTGGCTTTCTCAGAGCTCTGTGAAAAAAACATGAGCAGCACACACAGCATGAGGCGCTAGGAAAAAAGAAGCGCTTGGGTTGGACCACGATGGCCCTGGCAAAACATCTGCGTACAAAACTGAGTCCCAATGAGGAACACAAGCAAAGTGCTCCCAGCACGGCTGCTGTTCATGCACCCTGCAGCAGCTTCATGGAGCTCGCTGAGAGATGCAGCTCCTCGTGCTGGAGGTGGAACAGGAGGAAGATGTGACAACCAGGACAGATGCAGAAGGTGACTGTTTTTTCTTTCGACTGGGCATTTGTTCTTAAATATTCCTCCTCGAGTTCTCAATTTTGCATGTAAAGGGTTTTTTCGTCCTGTTTTTAATTTAATTACAGCTCCTCTGTCCCCCAGTTGATTCAATCTCATCCAAACAACATGCAGCAGCAGTGAGTTAACAGGCAAAAGAAGCCAAATTCTTTACAAAACCACAGTGTCTGACAGTCTGCACGCATCCTACCAAGGCTGTCCTTATGTACAACCAACAACCCAGACTGCTCATCTCCCAGGAGCTGCATATTCAGAAGGGATATTTCTCCTGTCACCTGCTCTACAGGCTGTAATTCCTCCTTTTCTCTGGAAGGCTGCTCAGCAGGCAACTGCTTCATAGAAACTCAGGTTGGAAAAGACCTCTCAGAGCCCCAGGGCCAACCCCAACCCACCCCACTGACCATGTCCCCTCACTCCATATCCCCAAAGATCTGGAAGACCTCGAGGGATGGGGACATCCCCACTCCCTGGGCAGCTGTGCCACTGCAGCACCACTCTGAGAAGAAACACTTCCTAACATCCAACTCCTGAAGAAAATACTCAGGATTTGGGCATTCTCAGTGCTGGCTCTTCTCAACAGACAGCAGTCCTAGATGAACATTCCCATCTGTAGGAATGGCCAAAAAGTGGGAAGGGACTGCTGAGCTGACTTACTACAACAACAACAGAGTAATCTTTTTCATTTTGTTGGTTTTCACTCCAAAAGCAATACTTCACAACCGAGACTTTAAAGCACAGACAGTAAAAATAGCCCTTTTTGTGTGTATTTCACCAGCAAAAAAAAAAAAACCAGTAGCTGCAATGCAAGAAATCATACACATACTGAAAAGTCATCAAAAGAAATATGAGCCCAACTCTTCTGGTAAAGCTTTGTTCCTGACATTTTCAATTTATGCCTCTTTTTCCCCCACCGTATGTTTTTTCTTGGGATATCCACATAGTTTACATACACTAGCTGAAAATCACTCAGAGGATGAGAGCAGAGGAACCAGCAGATCCTGTGTCTGCAGCAAAACGGGTCATACTGTGGATTCATTGGGGATGAACCACATCTCCCTTGCAGCATCCCACTGCCAGCTCAGCATTCCTGGGCACAGGGAGCACCCACAGCCCCGGATCAGTGCACAAGGAGGGAGCAAAGTGAAGGCAGGGGGCAGGGAGCACTTGGATCCTGGCTCCAACATGCTCGTGCTGACTTTAATTAGCAGCTGGCAGCTCTGATTGCTCTGCTCTTGGGTTTTCCTCGTACGACATTGGAGATGTTAAAGCTGTGCTTTTAAAGGCTTGCTGCTGTCCATTCAATTGTAAGGAAGTGGGAAATTACAGCTGTGCCAAAAGGTTTTCAGCAAAATCTAAAAGCAGCAAGCGATCTACTTGAGTCACTAAAATATTCCCCAGTCCCTGTTCTGCATGCAGTTTTACATATAAATCGATGTTTAATTCAGCAAATAAACGAAACCTTATCCAGCGCAACCCATAAGCTTAATTGGGGCAAAAATACCTCATGCAGATTAGCTGCTTCTCATCCCAACAATTAAAAAAGCACACCAGGTAATTAAATGCCACAACACGTTCACAGCGCTTTGTTATCCACAAGAAGTACTGTGTGGCAGCAAGCCATTTCTTGGCAGAATTTCCATCATCTATTCACAAACGTCCATCAGATTCAAAGAAAGGATCAGCACTGTTCAGCCCTGGCCATCAGGGCTGGACATCAGAGCGAAATAAATGAGGAGGAACTGAACAGTGGGAGAGCCCTAATGGAGCAGCAGCCTTGAGATAGACACATCTTCACGTACAGAAACCTGGAACGGGTCAGCCCAGCAGCTCTTAGTACAGACTGAGATTTTAAGCTTCCAAATATTAAATGTTAAAGAGAGGGAAGAAGGGGGTGAGGGAAAAACTCTTGCACCAAACCCAGCTCTAGTAAAACTTGAATAAAGCGAATAGCGGAATGCGTGCACAAGTGACAAGTATTTATTTAGTTAATTTTATAGCACTTCACTTGTTTATAAATCATCAGTCCCATCACATATGCTGCATCTTACTATTTTTCCAAAGACAAAAATAAATGGCTCACCAGCTGCTGCTTTCCCAAGGCTGTGGTTTACTTGGGTATAAACAGAGCCGAGTGATTCCAGCTCTGCTATGCTGGCTGGGTTCAGGAGGATCTAAGGAACTGTCATGGCAAAGAAGCGACACCTGAAGCACTGAGCCCTTCCTAATGGTGTTACTTTACTGGAGCAAAAATCCCCTTTCTGTGGGGGACTTGTGCAAGCTCTCTTGCTAGCTGCATTCCATTTCCAATATTAGCTGGGGGTGGTGAGGCTGGTGACAGCTGGACTGTATCATAAAGAAAAAGTGAGTAAAATTCAAGGCACGATCCTACCAAAATGGAGATCTACATTTAATATTTCTGCTTTAAAAACAAAAATAGTTCAATTCACTTTTGTTGTCTTCACCTTTGTCCAGAGCCCTCTGGGTTTTCACAATACTTTGGCAAGAAAACACAGCTCTGCATTTCAAACACATAAAAGCCAACAGCATAACTGCAATCAAAGCCTTCAGCTCAGCTCATGTGGGCCTCTCTAGGAATGGCTCCATACATCCTCAGGAGGAGCACAGAAGCAATAGGGCTCGATATCCCAATTCCACATTACTCTCTGACTGCCTCCACCTAACAGCCACAAACCAGCAGCCAAGTGAAACTTCTCCTCAAAGAATACAAGCAAGGCAGCAAATGGAGAATGGAGATTTGAAATTTCATGCTAAAAAAAGTTCTCTACATCTTGAGGACTCTCATTAGCATTAGCACTGGGGAGTCTGAGGTAGATACACAAAGTATTCAGTTGTTTGTGTGTTTAAAGAGCTGCAAAAGAATGAAAGCTCCAACATGAATTTTAGGTTTTGGAGTGAAAGATATGTTTATAGCTACAGTAATTGCTGCTCCAAGAAGCAATCAACATATGGATAAGACTCAGAGTAAAGAATGAAATCAAGCAATCACAGCAAACAAGACCTCTAAGTAAATGATGTGCATGTTAAGGTTACCTCTCCCCAGGCAAATCCACCCTTACCTTGCTCATAGCAGTCAGGGCAGGGTCACAGGCTGCGTCCAAGTCCTGCACTAGCAGCTGTATGCTGTTGGAAATCACACTGGAGAAAGAATCAAGCATAAGTTTTAGGATAGAATTCAGTGTCAGAACTGGTTTCTTTGGCTGTGGAAGGAAGAAAACTTACTAGATGAACTTGGCATTATGTTGTGAATTTACATGGCTATAACTTGTACTGAAAAGAACCCAGGAAAATCTGCACGTTGTTCATCAGGAGCTGCATAAGAGAGGACATTTTTATAGCTGACCGAAAGGTTGCAAATGGGGAGAGAAACCTATTTGACTACATTTTAAACTAAACACACCTCCTGTAAAGCAGCAAATGTGTTGTAAATGCAATGCATCACAACACACCATGAGAGATTTGATGCTGGTTATGCTGGAAGCCACTCGAAACCTTCACTCCAGACAGCATAGAGCAGTACTTCAGCAGCAGGGAATGAAACCCATACAATTCCAGGCAGATACACAGGAGTTTGCAGTGAGGGAAGCCCAGGCCATAAGCAAGCAGCCTGCGTTCTAACAGACCTACAGAGTTCAGGAGTTCAAAGGGACTCTAAAGGCCACCCATAGCCTCACAACAGAGCAGGGCACAGATTTAAGTGACAGCAATTTTCCCTCAGTTGAGCTTCAAGAAGAGCCTCCCCCCAGAAATGCTTACCTACCACAGAGGTAAAAACCTCCCAGCCCATTGCTGTAAAAGTGTTTGGTGGTAGCTCCACACTGTCTGTGATGAAATAAACCCTTCCTAGGGTACGTAAGCAGCAACATTTTATTTTCTTTATGACCCTGAGTAACAGGATGTCAAATCTCAGGAGAAACAACTTGTTTGATGTTGAAGGAGCAAACGCCAAAGCGAGTTTTATAGCTATGACTTAAACTGACAGCAGACTGAACAAAGTGCTCTCCTCTGGAACAGACTGAACCTCAATTAAAAGGTCTTTGCTACAAGATATATCACATCAGGCCTGACAGTTTAACTTTAAAGATGTCTTAAAACAGCAAATACAAGCTACACATTAAAGCAGTCTCCAAAACATGCGGTATTAGCTGCCTAGGACCAACTTCATTGCATGGCAGCCACTGCTGAAACTGAGCAGTGACACAAAATATCTCCTGACAGGTCACAGGGAAATGCAGAACTCACTCTTGCCTTGCTCACGATAGGAAAAATCCCATTGCACGGTGTTATTTTATTTCTACTCCCAGTTACCTTGCTTGCTTTGGCTTAGAGGACATAGCAGCCCTATTTTGCAGTCAAGGATTCACTCTTAAAAAGGTCTGAGAATTATCTAGAGGAAAGGGAGTGTGCAGCATGGAGCGGAGCCCAGCACCACATGAAAAACCTGGATGGAGATTCAGTGAATCCTGCCCACTGGAGTGAGACAAGAGCTATCACAGGAAGGAAGTCTTCTGAAACAAACATAATCTTGCTGCTATCCGGGCTGAATCTTAGATTAAGGGAGAACTGGCAATCCGGATTATTTCCCCATCTTTGCCAAGGTTTTCTTTTATCTGATATGAGGCAAAACAATTTTTTTTTTTTGCCTCAATTTACTTCTCTCAAAAAGTATTCTATATGTTGATGGTAGTGGAGAGCAAATGATGCTAGAGGAGAATATTTTTAGCATCATTACATGAAAAGTTATTTTAATGAATGATAATCTTCTCTCAATTACAATCCCTGAATGTAAGATTGAATCAGTCTTTTATGTCATCTGAAACGGGGTTTGATCATACTGACAAGGCTGCTGATTAACAGTGGGAAGTTAAAGCAGGAAGGAATGTACTGAAATAGCTTCCTTTTCTGAAATGTAACAGCTACCTCACAGAGCTGCCAAGATGCAAATGATGTTTCAACTGGAAACTCACTATTTCCTCTCCTCTTTCCACTGCTCTCGTTCCTTTGGCTAGGATGATGAGGAACAACTACATCTGATGTCTGTACTACTGCAGACCATTCCTTCTCTGGACCATTCCTTCACCAAGGAAATGCCTATACCTAGACTGCATATCTGAGTGGGTCCTATGACACTGGGATTTTTGGGTTAAACTACTCCAGCACCATCTGGCTGACAAATGAGGATGTTTGACATAGGGAGGGAGGATGCATCTGCTCTACATACATGCTGAAGGTGTCCGTCTCTCCTGTTAGGTTGATTCTCTCCACCAGACTTGCATCCACTTTTTCTTTGAGTTTCTCTTCCAACTGTTAGAAAAGAAAAAAAGCAACAGAAAGACCAGAATTCCTACTTGCATCCTGGAAAAGTCAGCTTCTTAAAACCTAAGCTGTGATCAAACTGCATCCACAACTCAGTCAGTGAACCTGGGTGTCACCTCGGAAGTGCTCGAGAGGAAAGCTCACCTGCTGAGTCGTTGCCAAGCAGTACTCTGCAGTACTAAGGATACTGCAAATGAGGCAGAGCTCTTCTAAAGTAAACTTGGCTACTTCAGAGCCTTCCTTTTCTTTCAGCAAACTAGTGATGGTGAGCCCGCCGCTGCTGCTCGTTGTCCTGGAAAAAAGACAAAAGCTGTAAAGCTTTCATGTGTACACAGAGACATACTGCAAAATTACTCCAGTGTCATAAAAAGTCTTTATGACCATTAAGCCCAATGCCTCACGCAACAAAGTGCAGTGTGTAATTCTTTGTGCATCAAACATGCAATTGCTATTTTGGTTAGGGAGTATCTTTTAGAAAGACAGGCAGAACTTGATGGCGAAACTTCAGGCAAAAGGACAACTCAGTTATTCACAACATGTTAGGTTAGGACGTAGACTGAACGCAGCTTTCTCCAGCTAACTTCACCTTCACTGTCAGTTACTCAAAATCTAATTAAAGATTATAGGAAAATCTCAATGCCCATCGGGTTCCTTCTCATATTTATCTTCTCAGTACCAAACAGATGTCAACACACACTTGAAACTTTGGTAACCCATTTAAAAAAACCTGATGATATCAACGCAGTAAATTACAGAAGATGTGGCTTTTTTCCACTCTGTTGCAGTGATTAACTGCAGCCTATCAGCAAAGAAAGAACTCTAATAGCTCAGAGTGAAGAAATTCCCTACGTCTCAACGATTAATAATCCAAATCCATTAAAAAAAATAGGACACCACTATTTATCTTGGACAGCAAAAATGGAGCACGCCAAAAATACGTGTACAAAGAATGCAACTGATGCCTAATGGAGAATGCACATTAAATTTATCTTTCCAATTCTCTGGACACAACCCTCTCCCTTCCATCTGTGAAAGACTTTACTGGCTTCAGAAAACTCATTCTGATGGTTCCAGGTTCACAAGGAAACAAACTGAAGATGGTAAATAGCGCACAAAGTTATCTGTAGTTAAGGTGACTGCATCTCAAAGACCTGAGCAATGACCTACACATGATTTCCTTTATTTTCACTGCATTTACATCTTCATAATTTATTCGTGCATTTATACAATTTCATAGAGCACAAAGCTACAGGTGAGCACTCTGGCATCACACAAATAAACCCCCTTCATTATAAATTACTGTATCTGAGCACGATGCTGAGCTTTTAACACAACAGAGCTGAAAGTCTCAATGTAATTTTTTTCCACCCAAGTAGCAGAAGTCTTGGGCTGGTATTTCAAAAGGAACTCCAACAAACTGTAAATCCGACTGTTAATCAAAGCCAAATATGAAGCTAACTTCTAGCAACCCTTAAAATAAAACAAAATGAACAAAGAAGCCCAATGCCATGAGTGACCATTTGGTCCCTAGCTGTAAATGTAGCCACAGTGCTGCTATGTGGTTTCTGTTTCGTTCCCCAGTATTCAGCACTAGTGAGGCCGCACCTCGAGTGCTGTGTCCAGTTTTGGGCCCCTCACTGCAAGAAAGACATTGAGGCCCTGGAACGTGTTCAAAGGAGGGCAACAAAGCTGGTGAGGGGTCTGGAGCACAGGGCTGATGAGGAGAGGCTGAAGGAGCTGGGAATGTTCAGCCTGGAGAAGAGGAGGCTCAGGGGAGACCTCATTGCTCTCTATAACTTCCTGAAGGGAGGTTGTAGTGAGCTGGGGGTCGGCCTCTTCTCTCGTGTCATCAGTGATAGGACCAGGGGGAATGGCTTCAAGCTACGGCAGGGGAGATTCAGGCTGGACATCAGGAAGTATTACTTTTCAGAAAGGGTGGTCAGGCACTGGAATGGATGCCCAGAGAGGTGGTGGAGTCACCGACCCTGGGGGTGTTCAAGGAAAGACTGGATGTTGTGTTGAGGGACATGGTTTAGTGGGAGCTATTGGGAATAGGTGAACGGTTGGACTGGGTGATCTTTTAGGTCTTTTCCAACCTTGGTGATTCTATGATTCTATGATTCTGTAATAGCAAAAACTAAGTGTTAACAAGTTTGTATTCATTAATTATCTTCTCAAAGCATCTGCTCCTCACTGGAATGTCTCACCAGACCGTGCTGCAGCATTTGGGAAGCTCAACTCACTTGGGCAGGTTGCCAGACAGGATTTTCCAGGCGTACTCCCGAAGGTACTTCTGGAAGATGGTGGTCAGGGCTATCATGGGTTCACCTGTGCTGAGCTGGGAGCACTGCACCATGCACTTCTTATAGTACACAAAGAGGTCAGCACAGCTGGGCAGGACGGCTCCTCCTTCATCCACGTTGGGCTTGGGAGGCCCTTGGGCCTTGAAGTCAGCCACAAACCTGTCGATCAGCTCGCTGAGATTCCTGTCACAGAGAAACAATGGAAAGACACTTTAACATGTTGGGGAGAAGCCCTCTTACGACACCAAAAAACACATTCCAGCAATCCAGAATTCCAGCCCATTCTCATCTCAGCACAAGCCTTGTGCAGCAGTGAGGACTGCGTTGGTGCATTTGATGCAAGTGCATGAAGGTTACGCTCAGATTTCATTGCTGGCACCAGTAGAAGCAGCAGGCAGACTTTGCAGATCAGTGGCCTCCAGAATTCAGCTTTCAAAGGGATGTGCTTGAGATGGCACTCCATTAGCCATCATGTGGTTCTGTTTGAGTACCACCTACTACTGTCGCCAGTGATTTATTATAACCTGGTCCTTACTCAAACATTTTGGTGTTTAGGCAACAGTAAGCTCCTCTCCATCGTTTCATAGTGACAAAAACACTTCTAAGCATGGCAGAGGTCCAGAAGGAGAGGTGATGTGACTCCTCCCCAGTAAACATACAGATCGCTGCACCAAAAGGATGAGCTCCTAGCACACATGATCTGCCTGGGCCAAGCTAATCTACAGAGCTGTGCTGGTAATGCCAGGGCTCCAAAATGTGAAGCAAGACTCTCAAGCTTGAACTTGGCTCAGAAGCTATTCAGGTAGATGACTTTGATGACTTCTCGCAGCTCTGATTCCACAAATACACAGTTCCAACAAGAACTGCAAAACCATCAGGCTGCTAAACTTACGTGACAGATCTCTACACTGGCAAGAGCAATTGAACAGTGAACTGAAGCATTGATTGTACTTGACCACAATGAAGCAAAATCTCCCTTCCCCAGTGGCTGTACGCCAACCACACAGATGGTGCTGCAGGAGGGCTCACATGTGCTATGAACTGCAGCATTCCTTCAGGTTCCCTAGCAAAACAGACGTGGCTTGCCCCTTGTCAAAAGTACCACTAAATTAAACAGCTGCATCTCTACCTCTGCATCTGCACTTTACTCCATCTGTGCAACAAAGTGGAGCTTTCTTAGCACTCACCAGCCACGTGTTTTTTTTCAGGCTCTCAGGGCACAGTGAGGAATGTCAATGGCTTTTCATTATGTTTACTCCACATGCTCTCCTCCACTCTGAGGCAAAGTGAAATGTATCTGCATTTCTCTGGTTGTCGTCCCCCCTGTCCTCCCCGCAGGTCTTGTCCATGGGGTGCACAAGCAAATGCAGCTGTCCAAATTGCTGGGAGAGCAGTGCCAGAACTTTGTGCTTCTTCTGATCCTAACCTGGACAAAGTGCCTGGCAAAGAATGTGCTCATTTTATTGCAAGATGGAAACAAGCAAAACATCAGGATACTGCGCACACACCTGATGTCAGTGATTCTTCCTCCCAAGTTTCAGTTGGCTCAAAGACAGTATGAAGGCTGACAGCCTTTTGTGAGTGTTGGACAATGGAAGCACAAACCATGTGGCAGAAAAACCTACTGGGAGAGGAAACACAAAGAGGGCAGGAGAGCAACAGAAAATGAGCATTCTCTCCATGCAGGTTCTGCAAAAAGGCTCTGTTCTCTGGTAGTGCAGATGTGATACTTCCTAACAGTAGCATACCTACTGGGAGCAAGAACTGTCCAAACTTAACCAGGAAAAAACATGAAATGAAATCATATGAACAGAATTGTCTTCTGGCTTCCAAGCCCAACCTTCCTATTATTCCTCTTTTAAATTCCACTCAATTTATTCAGCGATTTTTCTGCATCTCTGGCCATTGCAAGAGGAACTACGCACTCTTCAGAAAGAAGAACACAGTGCCCAGTCACTCGATCTGTTGAGTGGTGTGAACAGTTGGCATCAGCTGGGCAGGGGGGAAGGGCAATGGTTCTGAGATAGCTTGGATCACTGGCAGGATATTTCCCACGGGCTGGGTGTTATGGAAGTCCCTTTGCTCATGATGCTGCAAAGAGCAAGTGCCAGTTTTCTAAGCAATCTGAATAAACACAAACACAACAGCATGCTTGCACACAACTCTGCACCCTCTCTGCACTGCAGACCCAACAGAGCCATTGCTCCAGCAGAAGGGCTTAGCTCACACATGTACACATCTATTGCTCCAGCAGATCACAAGGAAGAGCTGAAGACGTATATCCCTGCGGGGAAAGAAATGAAATCTGCTTCACTGTTAAGAAATCTGATATTTACGCTGCAGTTATGAGTGGAGAACAGCATCTTTAAAGCTCTTCTATAGCAATTTAACAGGAGACACCTGAAAGATTTTGGCACCGTGTTTCTTTAAATGGGTATGGAAACAATTGTTCAGGAGAAAAGAACCAGGCAGCTTTCTGCCACAGACTTAAGCCAACGGTGAACTGCCACACTGCCTCCTTTATCCAGACACCCAGCATACAGTTATCTAAGGAACTCCTCATTTTCAGACATCAGTAACAGATTCCTCACAATTTCAAAGGGGGAAGAAGAGTGAAGAATCAAAGAAAAGCAATTTTTGGCAGCCGGGGCAGCATGGGGAATACTGTGGCAGTTTCTCTTTGAACTCCTTTCAGCCTGTGGCTATAAAGCTAATATAAAACATCTCAGGATTGAAAAGGAAAAGGAAAAAAAAAACATAAAAGCAACTGAAAGGATTGGGAGCACAGTGGGGTAGAATTACCAAAATGGGGATTCAAATGGCCCCCAGTGAGATGGGCAGAAATATTCAAACAAGTTAGTGCTTGGATCACTGAGAAGGAGGAAAAAAATCTGCTTCCTTTTGTTTTACAACAGAGTGAAACCCAACCTCAGCACAACAAACTATTGTGTGCAATTGTAATTTTCATTATTAGGCATAGAAGCTCTGAAGCCTTTCTCAGGATGAATATCTTGCAGTATGGACAAAATCAAGACTCTGAGCTTTACCTTATGCACACCTGTGTGTAAATTCATGGAAGACAGAAGGGCACAGATAGCTGAGGTACACGAGGCAGCCGCCTGACTTTATTTTTCCAGCCACTAACCCACACTAAATGATTGCATTCAACCTTTTTCAGCTATCTCCTCTTCCAGCTGACACTGCAGTTGTCACAGGGATGGTTTTTAAATCCTGGCATGAATCAAGCTGCACAAAATATGCGATGAGAGTTCTAAAAACTTCCCCGAGTTGCAAGCTGAAAGCTCCTTTCATTGAAGTTATTTTGCTGTAAGTCAGAGGAAAATGAAGTAGGGTTCTAGGGATTAAAACCTCTGACAAAGCCCTAATCTGTGACCAATGATAATGTTATCTCACAGCCAGCTCATCTACAGCAGCTTTCATCTGAAAATCTCAAATAACTTCTTTCTTTAAAGCAAACCTTGAAGCTCCTCTGCCACGGAGCCACTTGTGTATTTTACAGAACGAGCAAACCTACTATTTGTGGAAGATGTGAGACAGAAGGAAGCCCTATGTCTGCAGTGGGAATTGCAGAGGGAACAGGAGCAATTTCAGAAACACTAAAGCCTCTTCCGCAGAAAGGCAGCGGGCATCATTCCTGCAAGCTTTGGCAATTTCAGCTGAAACCAACATCCACAGCCCTCGGAATGCTCAGTATTTCTTTACTGCTCTCCAACCACGACTTTTGCTCGTGAACTGAAAATAAGAAAGCAAACTTTCAAGAAATGCACCTTCTGTAGCTTGCATACGAACCCAGAACAATGCAACAGCAAAGCACATTCAACAGCAAACAAAACTGGAAGAGGATGCCATTACTCACTTGTCTTGGGACTCGATATACACATAAAGGTGAGGCTCGAAGCACTTGGAAACAATGCCATGGAAAGGATTGTCCGGGACTTTCGGCTTCTTTGGCTGTAAGAAAGCAATTACAGCATTGGCTTTGAACCTGCCCTGTAAGATCTAGGAGAAATCATAATGCAGCAGCATAGAGGATCTGAGCGTTCAGAAATACAGCACTGAAATTTGTTGACAAATAACCAAAGGCAGTATAGACAAGGTCAGTGTGTCCCAGCCTCCCTTGCTCTGAAAGAGCCGTCAGCATTCCAGAGTTATTTTTTTACCTGTAAAGTACCCTGTATCCTTCAAGAGAAGACTTTTCCATGCTAAAAGATATCAGTAGGGAATAAAAGCTTAATGCAGTTTGTAAATAAGGAAACCTCACCGCTCTCTTTTAGCAGAAGTAGTCACCACTGAAATGAAATGCAGCAGTTATCTGCAAGTAACCTTGAAAAATCCCTATGTTTTGGAACATTAAGGAAAGTAACTACAGACTTCATCTGAATGAATATTATTTAGATAAACGGAATGTAATTACAGCACTTGGAATCATCCAGGCAACGTTACAGGATTGCTTCCACTGTAAAACATGTTTCTGGGGATGCAGAGTTCTACTGTGAAGTCACATTTAGAGTATTAAGCACATACGCCGTTTGGGAGCCATCCAGTTGAGTTTTAGTTTAGCACTGTGCTCTGTAAAGTGGCCAAGCACATCTCACTGAAGCCACTGAGTCTACTCCCATGCTTAAATATGCACATGCATCAGGCCGGACAGAGGCTTTAAGCTTTGCCTTACAGCCACATTTTATTTTTGAGATGACAAACAATTCTCCCCATTGCTTGTTGGCGAGCTGACAGGTTTTTACTGCCTGCAAAGAACTCTGTGCAGAGAGGCAAGAGTTCCATTCCAAAGAGACAGGATCAGCTCTCAGCCAACGAAGATACAATTTTTTTCCAGCTGATTTTTCTTTTTTTTTTTTAAAGCATTAAAAAAAGCAAAACAAGAGAGCCTAACGGACACCCTCTCTTAAATAACAGGAATGGTGGCACTGAGCTGTTTGCAGAAATTGCAAGGCACAGATTTCTCAGGAATAATTAAGACTCAAAGACACAACGGATATGAACCTATGGCTGCAAACTTAAAGCAAGAGAATGGTTTCATGGAGGCCAGAGCAGCCCTGGGAGCCTTGCTTCATTCACCTCCCCAGCAGCAGCAGGACTGCAGAGTTCTACAGCACTGGGAGAAAGCCACTGCCCAGCACTCCCTGCCCAATCCTCTGCCAGTGCCTGCCTGTTTCTGCCAGATGCACGTGCTCATCAGAGCTGGAAGGAAAACAATAGGTGGTAATTACAGAAACCTTCCAGCCGCCAAGCCTCAGCAATGGCAGTGCCAGCACAAGGTTGCCCATTCATTATATTTATGATTTACCAGGCTGGAAGAGCCGAATCCTAAAGCACAACTGCTTTTTTGTGTGAGTGTGTCTTTGCATCACGCTGCTCCCAGCATGTCTGGTGGAGAGAATACTAAATCTTTTAACAGTAGCGCTGAAGCTGTATTTTGGTGTGTGCAATCCTGTCCAAAAGCTGCAGATGTTTAAGCTATTTCCTCCTCGAGTTCGATGGAAATAATAAAAGGTTACTGTTGTCACAGTAAGGAGGCCTGCAGCTGGCCCAGTTTCCTTTCATTACTATCCAAAGTAAACAGTTTAAATCTAACTGCTAGGATCACTCAAAGAGGTTCTTTTTAACATGGATTTTTCCCCCCCTCACTCTTGTGTTCCCTCTTACACTCACAAGAGAATTCTCAGCACTGATGTCTTGGGGCAGCTCTACCACTCAGAACTCCTCCTCTCCAACCCTTCCTTTCCCTTCTCTTCTTCAGCTGGTGTCAGCAGCAGATGAGTCCTCCACCATCAACCCACCAGCACTAAGCAGCTGCTGGCATTTTGGAAATCAAGTATTGAGGTGTTTGGTGGAGGGCGGAAGGCTGCCCTGCTTATGTAAAAATCCAGATGGATAACACCCAGCTCTGCTGAAAAGTGAGCTACTACCCCACAAATTACTGGGACATGGGTGTGAGTAGGTCCTAGGGCCCTCATCACGGATCAGGATACCACCTGGAAATACACTGTGAAGTCACCGAGCACAGAGAGGTTACCTGTCCCAAGCAGCATACAATTGAATGCTTAGAAAATGCCTGTCTGCTGAGTGAAAAATAGAGAGCTCACACACTTTGATCTCCATGCCAATTAAAACAAAAGTGCTCACTATTCACTCCTTTAGTATTTGCAGAGGGCTTTGGAAACTCAGTGCTTTTACAAGCAGTTAGGTGTTACCTGCAACACAGAGGCAGCGGATGAAAAACACCACAAATATAAATCCTAGAAGTAAAACCTTTGGAGCAAAAGTCTAAAACTGACATTTGAAAGTTCAACGAGGTGTCTGATGGCTCCAGACTTAGTTTCCTTGGCTGACAAGGCAAAATATGAATTGCAGGTCTTTTTGGGATCTGAAAACCCAGCCATGGCAGGCTCTCTTTCTTCGACAGAAATTCTGCAGTTACATTTGAGCTGTTGCTGCATGAGCTAGAACAGAATCCTACTTGCGTGGTGGGACTGTCCCTGCACTATTAACTGAAATAAAGATTGCTTTGGTTTCAGTGAAATGAGCCGCAGCAAATCAGTCATACTGGGAGCTAGCATGCTGCCCAGGGAACCAAAACTGTGCTAAATTAATTGCTGTGAAAACAAACCTTTCCAATCAATGTCATTGGAAAAGCTTAGATGCCACCCGAGATTTTGACACAGAGGCTGACTCACTGACAAGTGGAAAGCTCTGAAGACTTACTTTGTCTGTATCACTTTTTTCAATTACAATCTCATCCGTCTCTGCCCCAGTTTCATCCTCTAGAAATGGGTTGGTGGAAGGAGGAGGTGCTTCTGGCTTCTTCTGTAAAGAACACACCAAAAAAGGAAGCTCCTTAGAGAACAGCCTGCTTTGTCTCCTGTCCACACACTGCAGCCATGTGCTGCTTTACTGAGACCTTCAAAGCACTGACAGCAGTCTGACTTCTCCAAGCACAGAGGCAACTGCAGACCCCCTCTTCAGCATTTGAGCTGCGAAGCTCTCTATGCTCACACTCACTCACTTAATCATCCCTGGAAGGGGCATTTTGATTAATGAGAAATTTCCACCCCCTCAAAGCCCACACACCAGAGCTCAGAAAGCTTAAGAGGCAGCAGCAGCAGAGTATTGGCCTCTGGTTATTCCTTAGTAAAGGACCAGAGCTGTGGAAGTAGTCAGCTGTGGGCAAGCTGCATAGCCACACTGAAAAAGGGACCAAGTGCTCCTGCTCAGAGCTGTGGGTTTCTTGAGGAAACAAATTCTAATGTGGGCTAGTGGGAATAAGCAGTACCTTTACTGGCCCCACCACACATCAGTGTCAAAGCTTGAGGGCACATCACAAAGAGGGAAGGAGAAATACTTTTTCTTTTTTTCAAGCCACATACATCCTCCCCTTCTGTTTTTTCTGTTACAAAAGCTTCTGTGCCTACCTTTTCCATGGGGATAACAACAAACCAGTGAAGTAAATCTAATTAAAGCTGCAAATTTGGTATGAAATTTGTCATAAAAATAAGGCTGTATTCTTGAGAGATTTAAATTCAGCCAGGAGGAAAACCTTACAGGACTTCCTTTTTTAATTAGCAGCACCTACTGATCCACAACAAATAACAACCAGGCCCGGCAGGCTTATCTTGTAGGGGGAATTAGCACATCTAAGTAGGCTTCCAGACACCAGCTGGACAGAGCAGTGAACCTCAAAGCAGTAGCTTGTGTGCTCCATGCTCCCAGGGCAATCAGCTGGCAGAGCACCTGCCTGAGATTTCAGGCTGAAAAAGCACAGAGATGACCCCAGAGAAATTCACTGAGGAGGTTCTCTTGGCTCTGGCTTTACAATCTGTCAAACGAGACACTGAAAAATGGAAGTTATCAATGGCCCTACAAGAAAAACTAACCCAAGAGAATGTGGGATTGAAAGCTGGTACCTTGTGGTAAACGTGGTAAGAAGAAATGAACAAAAGAGACAACTTTTGGTTATAACGTGTCATCAACACGCAGAAAACAAACATTATGATGCAGTCACCACACCATAACTATTTTGTGGCTCTCCATACCAATGTGGCTTCAGTTGCAGACAGCAGTGCCCAGCAGAACCAAAAAAGTACACAATCTATAGTTTCCTTCCCAACTGCAACCCACTGAGCACAGTCACACTAAATGTTCTACCTGCCAGGGGAGGCTGCAGGTGACATCTTTTCAGGCCTCCCACTACCGCAGCTGTGTGTGAGTTGGGCCCTTTTTTCCCCCTAGGAAGCTGTGGGTCTGCTCTTTAGAAATCCCCTTACCACTGTGCCATCAGCCAGAGTGCAGCCTGAAAAGCGCTTAGCCAGAAGTCCTTCAAAGTTGGTTGTCCTCTGGATTGCAAACAGAAGCAATTTCACTTCAATTTCCTTTGCTCTTGTACGCATTATCTTGGCAAGCTCTGTCCTGAAAGAGGGTGACAAAACAGGAAAAACAACGTGTTTTTCTACAAGGAGAAAGATCCAAAACTTGAGATGGTAACTCATTCTATTCCCTAGCAACACTTTCCATCACATAAATCAAGCTAATTCTTAAAGATGCTCTCTTCAACAACTTCTCAAGTTCTTCACTCTTGCTCTTAACCACGGGCAAATTCAACACAGCTATCTGGATGCTACCTTTAAGGTCGCACAGCTGTGTGCCCTGTTTGGATGCCAATCCTCTCCTCAAGGAGCGTGGTTCTGCTGGGGAGCACCACGAGCCTACCTGGTGACGTGGCAGAACTCCACAGCGATGCGCTCCGTCATGCACCACTCCTGGGGGAACATGCGCCCGTACTTCTCCTCATAGTCCACCAGCTGACGTTTGATCCACGCGTAGCGCCTGTCGATCTTATCCAGCCAGGCGACCTGAGGAGGAGAACACCACCCTTAACAGCAGCAGCTGCCAGTAATTCTAGAAGTGCTCAAATTCATGCTAGACTGAAAATCTCCTCGTGCACGAAGGTGCTGCTGAAAACTCAGCCCAATGATAATCCATTCTGTCCTACCATCCGCTTTGTTTCGCTGAGAGGTTCAAGAGAACAGCGGGATGAGAATGCTGGAACTCCTGGAACACAACTGTGGGGTTGTGTTCCTACATACTCCAAAAGGAGTTCTTGCAACATGCACAGGATGGAATGTTTCTATCATCAGGACAAGAAGCTGAAAAATTAGCTACAAAGACTGATCCGTTTCCTGGAGTCCCCCACCCCCCCTTTTCCTCCTCTTAGTGTTGTTTTACTTTTAAGATTTTTGGGTTTGCAACTATCAGAATAAATTTCCAACACTTCAGAGGGCAGAAAGCACATCTAACTTGAATTTATTTATTTGTTACAGTGCAGACCTCTGAACTTAAGCTCTAAGAAGAGAGGAAGTCATTCTGGTAGCCTCCCAACCCACCAGCCTGTCCATGTCAGTGCTCCCAGCCCTCAGGTCAAACCCAGACTGCCACAGGAAGCTGAGGAAACATGAACTTTGCATTTTGCTCTGCTCTGCAGGAGTATTTACAAAATCCCAATGCAGCTCACAATGCTTTCCTTACATCTTGATTTTCCTGGAAAAGGACCAGATACTCTGAGAGGTGTTGTTTAATAAATTTCTTGATGATTTCCTGCTTGATTCTGGGATCCAGGACATTGGCGACGAGACACGCATCACGCAGGACATTGCTGGGTCCACCAGGTCTCTGTCAAAATAAACAGATGATTTAAGGTTAAACAACAGAAGGGGCAATTGTAAGTTGTACTGCATCCACGTTACCTTGTTTTAATCCTTTTCCATTACTCTCTTCTCATGCTCTCAGTGTTATCACTTAACCATCTTTCTTCTGTTGAATGAAAATTGAGCTCCCTCCATTTCCCTGGCCATAAAAGTTGTTTTGTGGCTCAACTACTGCAGAAGTACTGCAACCTCCTTCCACAAATAAGAACAGTCATCCCATCTCTTCTGCAAACCCCTTCATTGTCCTACATATTCTGAAAAGCAGCTAAAGGAAAGGGTCTGCCACGGGACAACCTCTTTTCTGCAAAAGGAAGGCCAAACAAATGTGGAAAATACAGCCTAGGGATGATCAGCTTGCAACAGAAAGCAGCACCTGCTGGTCTGTTTTGGCCCATACGAAGATGATAGTGGAGAATAAAAAGATTTAGAAGCATTTAAAAAAAAACACCAAAACAATGCTCTTTTGAAGCTGCTTCACGTACACGCAGATCCGCCCTTCACCAAGAATCTGTTCCAACTACTTTCCTCCCTTCTGTACTTCTGTTAGTTTTGTGAAGAAACCAGTAGAGCTGGTATTTTGAAAGACAGAACTAGCATTTTCTTTAGAATAAACTCTATTTCACACCTACTCCCATATTGCTCCCAAACGTTTGGATTCATAATTTGGGGGAAGCACGCTTGCTGCCTTAGCCTTTGCCCAGATCTGTATCTGTGCTGAGTAAACCAGAGACAAATCTGATGGCAGCGTGTCAACAGACAGCTGGTGCTTGGCTTCCCCTAGACATGCACAGACCTTTCGTGTCTGACAAATAAGCAGCAATATGGAGAGACACACCTGGGTTAGATGCTAAGGGTTCATGGCCCCACTGCAATCTATATGGTCACACACAGTGTTTGGGGTATTCCTTGACTAGCATGCAGACCTCACTACAACAGTTGTGTTCTAACAATAGTCTGACTTTGAAAGTCACCACGATGATCCAGAAGTAAAATGAGGTAGAAGCTGAGGACAATTCAGTTGGCAAGGTTTCAGCAAGTGAGAACTTTACCTTTGTACCTTGGGAAGGAAAGGCTTCCTCAAAGTCAGCCAGGATCTGCTGTCCTAATTCATTCTGTGCTGCCTTCACCCTGATGATGACAGAAAAGACACAACGTTGTTCCATTTTGCACACCTTGCTCTGAAGGGGACTGAAAAAGCTAGCAGCTCCACGAGGTTTTCTTAAAGGACAAAAAAAGCAGCCTGAAAGAAAAAACCACCCACACTAAGAAGGCATTATGTCAAAACTGTGAAAGTATTTTCTCCCTGAACGACACTTGGATGACAACTCCATCTGTACAGCATCAATACAAGTCCTTGATGCTCTCGTGCTGCTGAAATTTAGTATTTCAATAACAGCCAGTTAATCAGCTGAGAAATCAGCACAGCACCTTTAATGCCAGGTCTTTACATTTGTGGATGTTGATTTTCAGAAAGCACGTTTCTAACACGAACGTCTCCATCTTCATAATGAACCTTTCACAGTTCCAGGTGCACCGACCTATTTTTAAATGCATCCATGTGAACTGTGCTGGCTGCGGTTTTATCCTATAAATCCCAACTTAAGAAGCATAAGAGCAAAGGTATGAAATGGATGAAAAGGTTTGACGAGACCACAATCACGCTCTTTATTTAGCTGAGAGAATAAGGCTTCCAATTTCCAGAAATAAAAGTCAATATGGCTTAATTGATACTTTGAGAGAAATGGAAATGCCTACACATGCTGGAAAGAGCCAAAACAAACAGTCAGACCCTCACACCCCTCTGCAGCCCTTGAATTCTTCCATCACTTTTTATAATGCTGGAAACACTTGAAGGACTAAACTGATTACTCAAAACAGCAGATTTTTCCATTGAGACTGATATGTTTCAAAGGACGGGTTTTGTGAAGGCATTTGTTCACACCGTGGAAAGAATCTGTTGTTTGGTTTCTTTTTTGTTTACGAATCCTCAACATCAACAAGGACTGATCTGTTTGTTTAATCTGCCCCTTCCAGGTTCGTTTCACTGGAACACCAAGAGCTGAGCTGACAATGCTGGAGAAAGGCCTGGCTAAATGAACGCTGCCAAATGGAGAAAGTTCTAGTCCTTCCCAAGCTATGGTTGAAATGTGACTTTATAATGATTTAGCTGCATGTACGACCCGTCTTATCTGGGATTTCTCTGTGGAGGTTCTGCTTGAAAAGCCTCCTGCCTGTGATGTCAAACACAAGTCTCACTTAAGCTCTCTGCTTCACAGGAATGTTTGGAAACCCAAATACCTTTCCAGGTAGAGATCCACAGCTAACACCCTCATAGCTGCAAAACAAAAGAGATGCGCTAAATGCTGAAATAGAAGGAGCAAGAAATTTAAGCAAGGAGAACTCAGCCCAGCAGCCAAACTACAACCATAATCCTGCTTAGACTGCACGAGTAAACCCCATCAATTAATGCGAGAAAGCATCACAGAACAAAGCCCTCTTATCCTCCTCCAAAACAAAACAAAAAGATGCTTAAAATGGATTGAAAAAGTGCATCTTTTCAATGAAGAAACAAGAAGTCTTGAATTTCACAGGAATGAATGAGTTTGTATAAATAACTGCAGCCATTAGCTGTGGAACTTCCCATCAGGCAACAGCTGCAGCGCAAGCACTGAAGAGCAGAGCAGCCAGATTCCTGAAGACTCAACAAACCCAGGAGAGGCACGGTCAGGCAGTTAAAAGCCCTGTCCACAGGCTTTGTTGTTTTAGGCTTTGATTCAGGAAAGTACTTAAGGGTATTCTTAATGGGGATTCTCATATCCTTCAATTAAGAAACTTGCACGAATGCCTTGCAGAGCTGGGATGCTAAGAGAAATATCTTCTTTTAAACCTGACCTGCTTAAAAATAATCTCTTGATGGCAAAACAGCAAAATAAGTTCCAGCACATTCTTGCATGCTTTGCACAAGAAGGGTAGTGTAGGGAAATCAAAGCAGCTGGAGCTTTAGGTACATGCAGCCAACCTCCCCCCCAACATTTGGTTACATGAGGGTTAGAGATTTTTGTTTTCCTGACTTTTGTTTTACTATTAGTGGCTTTTGTTCTGCTTCTCCACCACTAAAATAATAATATTAAAAAAAAAAAGAAAAAAAAGAAAAAAAAAAGCACCCACGAAACAAAACAAACCTCACACTTAAATCTCAAATGACAGAAATTATTAGAAGCCATAATTGCTTCAGCCAAAGCTACCAGAAATCTTAAACCATGCCTGGCATCTTGTTGGGATGCAAAGGGGCTGAGCGAGCCCGTTTTGCTGGGGCAAACAACTTAGCATCATCTTTATTGGAAATACTTTCCAAGCTTTTCTCCACTCTCTGCCAGGCTTCAGCAACATGCATGGGTGGGTTGGTGACCGCTAATTGTATGCTCCTTCTACAGAGGGAAAACAGAAGGGAACTGAGAACAAAATATCACTTTCTGCTATGACAAACAGCTTCCATTACACCAAATTTGAAGTCATTTTAGGAATATCATTAAGAAAATATTCTCTTTTGGATGTGAACTGTGTTATTTTGTACATGAATACCCAACGGGACCTCCACAAGAACCCAACTGAGCATTCAGTCAGGCTTCCAATGAATGCTTACAATGGGATTTTTGATTGTTTTCAAGGGTACAGAGCAGGTGGAAAGCAACCCTGAAAACACATCATTAGTTTCACAGCATCCAGGAGCAGGAACTTTGATTGAATCGAGCACCCCATGACAAAGCTCCCATCCAACAACACCAAGCAGGCACTTCTCCTTCCCATGGCCTCCTGTTTATATTTGGCTTTGCTCCATCCACACCAAGGAAGAAAGGCTCTTTATTAAAGAGAGAATCTGCTCATTCAGCACTGCATATAATAGATTTACTGTATATAATACACTTTGGTTACTGTAGGTAACCAAAGGTTCTGTGCCAAAACCTACCCATGCACTTTTGCCTTCAGGAGAGCCTTCAGCTGCACTATTAAACCAACCCAGGAGATACCAAACCCCAGCAATTTCAGTCTGAAAATAGCACTGAGAGGAGCCCGGTACACTTCCTTTGATGTTTCATGAATCAAGAAAGTGTATCCAAGCAAAGAGAGAGGACACTCAGCTCCAAGCTGGGCCCTCCTACCTCCACATGGAGTCAAGCTGCAACTGGGCATGGCCTCAGGCAGACCTCCCTGCCCTGGGTGTCAGCAGTGCAGAGCTCCCAGCGCCACCCGTGCAGCCCTCCTCACCCCACCAGCAGCATCTTCCATCACTACCAGATGGTGCAACTCGTGCTGTGTAAATACTGGAAGAAAAGCCCTAAAAGCAGTGCTAAAAATAGGAGAGAGTCTTGAGCTTTTCTGACCCTCATCTTGAAAGGAGACAAAAACAAAGGAAGTTCTCCTCCACACCTCTGCCAGTCTCTCTGGTGCGACTCAGTATCTCTTTAATTATCAGCAACTATGAAAGCATTAAATAATTGTCCATTAGAAGGGGAAAGCCAGCCAGAATTCTGCACAGAGGTTTCAATTATCTGTGGCCTTACCATGGCCAATGACAGCAGCTTTCTGTCACTACCAATCTGGAAGAAAATAAATCAAGTTATCTTCCTGAGCATGAGGTCAGAACAGACAACAACCTAAACAAATGTCAGCGCTCTTCTGAATTTATCTCTCTTTGATGCTCATTTAAGCAAATGCTTATGGCCAAATACTTTGCTAAAACAAGGCTCCACCTCTCCCTCTGATTTAGGGTGGATCTTTATTTTGCTCAGTGTCATGAGTTCCACCTGGGTTTTCTGGAAGAGGTGTCCATACCACAAAGGAAGTCCAACAGACTGACAGTGAATTATTACAGTTATCACTCAAACACTGCTTCCATCACTACACAGTACAGCTGCCATCTTAGCAAAGGGAGTCACCACTAAATTAATTAGTGCCTGGAAGACTCCTCTAGCCACCTTTGTAATGAGCAAAGTAGCCTCACGTATCAACAGGATGGTGGTGACAGATGTGCAATTTGCAAGCTGGAAAGAAATGCTATCAGATATGATTGCATTATTAAGAAGGTTCATCCCTAATGTTAATAAGTGGTTTTAACCTCTGAGCTGTGCTCAGCACTACAGTAGGCTGTTAAGTAAACATCAGCCGTGTGGTGCAAGGGAAGTGAAGCCTGCTGTAAAGCAGGAAGAGTAGGTTTGGGCTGGGACAGACATGTTACCTAGAAGAGGGAGGGCCCTGTTCCTGAGAAACCCAAATGCAAAGCCAAACCAAAGCCAAGACCCAGGAGAGCTGGTGGCTTTGTCACATCAAGCTGCCACGTTCCACTGCTGAGAGCAGTAGGCACTTCCTTCTGAATCTGCACTACAACTCACCCCGTCACCGACTGCATCACTGAGGGTAAGGAAGCAAAGAAAGCTTCACCTCAGGGTTTGCCATAACCATGGGTTCAAAGGGCCACCATCTTTAGGAACTGCTTCTGCCTAATGATTTGCCTAACTTTCCAGCACAGCAGGGATGTGAGCGGTCAGTGCTTGATTGTTTTACCTTTCAGAAAGCTGTCGAATCTGAGGAATCCCCATGTATTTGTTGAAGTGCTCCAACACATTCACAACGCCTTGTAGAAGGTTGGCAACTTCCCCGTATTGTCTCCTTCTGGTCATAGCCCTGCAGAGGAAATTAAACATTTACAAAGGGGAGTTTGATGAAAATCCTGGGTGGCAGTTCCCAGGTTACCTCATCCATATGGCCTTCGCTGACATTCATTTTTCTAAAATACACAATTCTTCATTAACATTCCAATACAGCATTAAAATTTCACTTAACTGATGCTAAAATAAACCAATCCGGCACACATCTAACAACGCTGCAGAAAACATAAATGTCCAAACCAACACTTGGCAAAGAACGTGTAAACTACCCAACGCATCCTCTTCCCAGCAAGGGTCCGGAGGCAGTAAATGCTATTTCTCTGTAATGACCTGAGTTGTGCTGTCCATCATGTCACACAAAGTGTGAGTTAAAGCTTCACAGGGAGAACTGTTACACTGAAAAGCCATTAGCCTTGGTTTTTCTGTTAATAATTTTCACAGGGAACTGATAGAAGAACCAACTTGATTTTTATTTCAACCTTTCGGATCATTCCATCGGAGACAGCAGCCCAAGTAAAATTTAATTCTGACCACTTGACAACCCAGCGTTCGTGCAGAATTTGCTGCAATCCAAGAACAGGCTGTGCTTGGGTCTTGCAGCTTCACAGATGCAACATGTAAAAGCTGAACTTCCTCAGCCTGTGCGTTCCTCAAGCACATTAGGAAAAAAAAAAAAAGACAACCAGGAAGGATTCTTAGAAACATCTAATCCCACTTTGTACACAGCACAAGCTGCAAGGCCCCTCTGAACTTGTTTTCAGAACTCGAGCAGACCTTTCAGAAAGAGAGATCCCACTGCAGGTTCAGACTGCTAAGAATCCCCCAAACCTCTGAAGAGCACATCCTTGGTGATGACACCTAACTCAACAGACTGCCTTACACTTTCATGAAGCCAGACTCTCATTCCCAACCTATTAAGTAAACTTCCCTCCAGAGATATAAGCAGCTGTTATAGGCCTGCTCTGAAATCAAGAACTCAGCAGGGTCAAAGTGCCACTAAAATTCACGTGCTTACTCCAGTGAGTCCACTCCCCCTGCCAGCATGTGCAGGTGGTTGAGGGTGGTGATGGAGGTGGTCAGATGGCGCTTGGCATGATCCAGCTGCTTGATGTCCCTTGTGATTTCTTTAACCTATTGAATGAAAAAACAGCAATCTGGCTAAATATCAAGCACCAAAACTGTAAGGAGCCAAGAAGGGCTCTCTCTTCCCTTAGGAACTCCATGTTAACTCTACAGCCAAGTTGACACAAGGACAAGGGTACAGGCTCAACACAAGCTTGACAGCAAATTACATCCAAAGACAAAAACGTTCCCTTCTTAATAAGGACTGAAGCAAAAATCAGTGTCTTATCCCTTTTAAAGGCTAAGGGGAAACTGCTACTCACCATTTGTTCTGATTTTTCAGCCTTGTCTTTAATATCCTTAATTTTACCAAAGAGTTGCTGAATGGCTTTCTGGGCTTCTTCCAGGGCCTGAAAAAAAAAACCAAGGTCAGAGTGGAGAGAAAGCTCACAAATAGTTTTCACCTTTAAGAATGTACAGCTGTTCCTCACAGCATCCTGGGCTGGGTCAGCAAGGGGAGCTGTGCTGTTACAAAGAAAAGATCATCAGCACAACAAAAGCCAACCTACAGCAAGGTGTAGGGTGGGATTTCAGCCTGAGTGGACTGGTGCTTCTATAACCACCTCACAATAATGCTCAGTAAAATCTGATTGAGAAATTCCATAGAAGCACCTTGGTGACATGATCCACTGGGGTTAAGGTTGCTGCAGTGCGCGTCCACTCACTAAGTGCGGAAAAATAAGTAGAGCTTACTCCTGATCAATAAGCATTTAGAGCAGGGAAAGGAAACCTCTGATTAAAAGCTCTCTGCTTGATCAATTCTCAATCAAAAATGCACAACATACAGAGCACGGAGTACTGTTAGCAGGATACCATCCTGCTGGAAGACCAACGCCTATTCTGTTGATCCCATGCAGACAAGCAAAAGCAGAAGTTTTGCAGGACAGTTTTGCAGTACCTACAGAGATCTAGCATGGAAAAGAGCTGGTTTGGATTTTTGTGCTGTTTTCCTGCAAACTTCTGGTCCCCTTCATGCAGCCGTGGTGCATATGCCCTTACCCAGACAGTGCAGATCCACGTGGACTCAGGGAGTGGAGCCACACATCCAAAAAATCACACATTCACAATCTACGTTCTGCAGTAACTCATCCCATTTTGCTTTCCTGCTCTGATAACGTTTCCAGCCCCAGTTCCACTTTGTTTCCCGCTGTTAGAAAGGCTTCTGTCCCTCCTTTTGCATCCAGCCCCATGACCAAGGTTATGGTGCTAGCTGCAGGCTCCTCCAGCAAAGAAACATAACACATCTTCCTTTAAAAACGCATCAGCAAACTATCTGCCAGGAGGTTTTGTTGGAATGTAGCTGCATTACAATAAAGTCTAAAAGCTGGAAACGCTTGATAATTCATTTTCCAGAGGAGGAAAGTCTCCTCTGAAATATCTTCTGAATCATGTGAACGTTAACACTTTATCCATTAGTGTCACACAGCACGGCATGCTCAATAAATGAAATGAGCACTCCACCAAGCTACAGGGACAGCTCTATTAGAAATGAACACCACCACCTTCTCATTTGGCTCCAGCCTGGCCCTCTCTTGGAATAAAGTTTTCTATCCCATTTAAAGGCACGTGAATTAAACGCAAACCAAAGAATGGTCCTTTCAACATATTTAACTGCAGTCTCTGTGCTCAATCCCAGCCCCTGGCTGCAGCACATGCCTCTGTGAGCCACTGAGCACACAGCACTGCTTCTCCCAGGGTCTGAGGAGGCCTGCATAAAGAAGTCAGCTCTGTACCTGAGGCACGTGGTCCTCCTGCACTCTGGAGGAAATGAGCACGCTGCCTCCGGTATGCTGAGCAAATTAAAACAGGGTTTTGTTCTCCTACACTGAAAACTGCCAAGAAAAGGCAAACTGGTGTCATCACCTGGTCCTGACACTTGTTGCTTTTACCTCCTTACAGACTCTGGAAAGCACAAAGGAGATGACATGTGCCCCGAGGCCTCTTGCTGTTCTGCAAGCAGCACAGCCAGAATGTGGGGAGAGACTGATCCATGTTGTGTGTGCATCTCAGGGGAGGGCATGCATTCCTACAGCTGCTAAGAAAAACAAAAACCACACACACAGAACTGCTCATAAACACTCATTTCATCTCTTGAAACCTGCTTCCAAAGACTTGCCCAGCCATCAAGACATAAATCTGCAACTAGTTCAAGGGGCTGCTCTCGTGAACGAGCTGCACATTTCTTTTTTGAGTTAGAAGAAACTAGTTAATGTCCGTGCAGGTTTTTTTTAATATAGTTTCTATAATAAAGATGAAAATATTTCTCTTGAAGCATGCATCAGATTTGCCCAAGGTAACACTGTATGTAAATCCCTTTTTCTTAATCAGAAAGGCACTGCCAGATAGATCTGAGGGGAAGCTGAGAACGAACTGCAAGTGTTATTCAGCTCACAAAGCCTAATTAAACCTTGTAATGGTTCTTCTTTCAGGAAACCAATGAAAAATGTTGGCTGCAACATTTCAACTGCAGCATCTGAGAGTAAAATATTGCACGTGTGGGAAGGAAATAAATTAAACCAAATCACTCCACCGTTCTGCTAAGTGTGAAGGTAGAGAAATGCAAAGAGCAAAACCACCTCATATTTGATCAGCAGTGCTCCTTACTCAGGGAGAAGGAATCGACAATCTAAGGAAGGAAAGCAGATCTAATTCTTTAAGGCATAATAAAGTTGTTGGTTTTTTTTTTTTTTTACTTCATATAAACGATTATTCTCTTGCCTATAAAAATGAGAGATGGGAAACTGCAGATGTGTTAAAGACCACACTTTATATTTTGGTAAGAATGCCTTTCCCTTCCAGTAAAGCCAGCTCTGCTCCTGTAAAGACAGTGAATCACGAATGTTAAAAGCATTTTGTTACAGCTTTTGTTTTTGGACAGAAATTCTAAAAGCAGAACAATACCAAGAGAATAGGAATTGCTCTCAAGGACAGAACTGGTTTACATGACAAAGAGCAGCAACCAGCCTTGCTCTGCGGCTTGACGCAGGCTTTGCTGTGCAGCACCAATTTGTCTCCTCGCCCTACGTGCAAATTGATGGCACTCCCAGCTGACGTACAGAAGTTATTGCACTTCCTTTCCTAAAGCATCTCAAGGGCTGAGGACTACTAACAAATGAAGAAATACCCAGATATGTCATCACCCATGGTTATATGAAACGAGGATGTCGAAATTAAGCTTGCGATGTACTGGAACAACATCATATGACTCTAATCAGCAACTGAGCCTGCAAGCTACAATTAACCCAGCAGCATTATTTATGAAACCTGATGCAACCTCTGCAGTCCCCAAGCGCCCAGCAGCAGCTGAGGACAGCCCTGGCAGGAGCCTGCTGCCCACAGAGGCCACAGCTACTCGTCCCAGGGCACCCAGCAGTGGTACACTGAGGAAAGAGGGCAGCAACACAGCAAGAGGCTGCAGGGAGAGCATGCAGGACAAAGCAACAGGCTTTGGGCATTCTGCTTTTCTCCTGCTCTGGCTTTCTTCAGCCAGTTCTTGGAGTGAGGAAGAGGAATCTTTCCATTTAATGGGATGCACTTTTACCTGGCCCTGTTTCTCAGCCTCTCTGTGTTAATACAATGAAGCTCCCCTGCTCCTGGGTTAACAGCAGGGATGAAGAGCAGAACATTGAGAAGTTCACCCATGAGCTGGAAAGCCCAGTTGCATCCAGCCCAGGTAAGGCAGGCAGACACTGAGCTCCACAAGTCATCACATTCTGTAAAGCAGCAGGAAAAAAGCACAGCACACCAACCAGCCACAGCTCTTTAAACCTCTTCACCCTGAGATGCAACAGGAGCAAGCCCATCAAACACACGACAGAACAACAGGGGAGTAAAGGTACAGCATGAATCACTAAGAAAAAACTGCCTGCAAAATATCTTCATTGGCACTGACCCAAGCAGTTCTGAGGGCATCATCTCTTGTGGCATCTTTCAGCTTGATCTCCCAACCAGCAAAATGGGGAAAATAAATAACCTGAGTGAGAGGTGGGAAGAGACTGAGTTTAACAGTGCAATGCCAACATGAACTTTAACTCAGTATTTCAAAGTGAAGCTCCTTTGAAAGTTAACCCTGCAGTGATTTACAGCCATAGCAACAATGGCCAAGCCAGAAAACAAAGCCTGAGTGACAGCCTGCAAATCCCCACAGCTCTGCAGGGGAACACAGCCATGGTGGCTGTCACCCCAGGAGGACAGCAGGTATGGCCCAGGTGACACGTCATGGAGATGCAGCACTTGAGGACATGTTTATTGGGCGTGATGGAGTGATGGTTGCACTTGGTGATCTTGGAGGTCTTTCCAAAGTTTACAACTCTATGATCCCCCACTCTACCCAAGACACAGCTTCACCATCTGCCACGGTGCTGCCCCATCCCTCCCAGCCATGCACTGCATGTCCCTGCACTGAAGCAAGTCAACAAAGTGCCAGGAGTCACACAAACAGGGCAGTTAGAGGAGAGTGTTATTACCAGATGTCATTCATTTGGGGAAAGAGCACATTTTCAGAGGCAGCTTGCTTGCTTTGGGAACTCTGAGATTTAGGACTGAGTCAGCTTTGTTCTGTCCCAGTAACAGTTAAAATACCTTGATAGCTTCCATATGCTCACTGGTGGTGTTCTAGAGACACGCTCCTTTTATTTGATTCTGGCCAATATATATTTCAATTGGATGTCATTACTCACATCAGAAAGCTGCCCTCTGCTAAGTACTTTATAGACACTTGACACATCTGCCAAATTCGCAGCATCCAAATGAATTTTTAATGTTACAAATCGGGCTGCGGTCAGGATGCTGAGAATTTAATGCTTCTGGATTGGTCCCCGCTCCTGAGCACAGAGTATTAATGCTCCTTTCATTTGCTGCCACACTTACAGCCCTGATCAATGAACGCCTCTGGACCATGACTGAAAACAAGTTCCCATTCCCAACTCTCAAAGAGCCTCAGCTGCAGAGATTTCAAAGGAACTCGTGCTTACTGTGACCAGACTCCTGATTTGTGCCACTGAAATATCATACAAAGAGTCTCTCCAGACTGAGAAAGGGTGGAAATACATTTTTATTCTCAGCCTGATTTCATTTTAGAGAAGCCTTTAAGTTTCACAGCTATGGATAAACCACTGCAGCTCTAGCTGTAGCACTCAAGCAGAGGGGTTGGTCCACGAGAGCATTCTGACAGCACACAGACAGCCAGATGCTTCCCTGGGCAGACAAATCTGATGGGCTCAGCACCCCTGGCTTTAATTTTAGTAGATTTCAACACTAGGACTCGATCAAATACTATGTAACTACCACAATCATCGCTAAAGAATACAATTTTCTGTCATCAGTTCTAGTTCTAACCACTAAGGCTGCA